TATATAATAAAGTTTCAAAAGGACTAGGATGAAGCTTTCATAGTTGATTAATTTTCCTGGTCCTGTTTCTTTTTTACTCATAAACATAGCAGTTAATTGAATTGTTGTTTCTACAGATCAAGTTGAAAGATTATGAATTTTTCCCCCTCTTCTGATAGTTAAAACTGATGAATGTTTTAGAATGGTATACATGTATTTAATTAATAATATCTTTAAAATATATTTCCATCATAACTTATAATTTTAATTGACTTTAGCAAATACCATACACATTTTTTTTAAATATGTTTTTTGAGCTTTGTTTATAAAAGCAGTTATGTAAGGCATTTCTATTTGGAGTTCTGGAAAAAAATGGATGTAAAATTTAATATATTTAGTATTGCATTCTACCTCACAATATTTCTCAAACTTACGGTGAAGCACCTCGTAGGCTGTTTTTGGCCAAATGCTCTGTTCTTTGTGAAGTACCTACCACCGTGAAACCCTGATATTTTTATTTCCATACAAAAGAACTCCAAATAACTTTACTATTGAAACATATTTCTATTATATATACCTCATAAAACTACAGTCATGTATTTAGGGGGATAAGAGCTATTTAATTAAGAATAATAGGCTGTTTTGATTTTTCTTGTATTTTATTACCATCTAACACTTGACAGCAAACAAGAGATTACAGATTAGCCAGAGTATTCAAAGAAATCTCAGAAATTGTGTCCATTAAGTTCATATTTTAATGTAACTGCTTGTATTTGATTTAGGTAGTTTAACACTTCAGTCCAATTCATGGATCTCTGTAGAAATTTCTGGAAATAGTCCTTATACGCATCTCCTCAGATTAAAATGGTACAAAAATAATAGATGTTACATTAGTAAATGTTGGTCTTGCTATATATTACGAGTTTTTGGATCTTTAAAAACAAATACTTAGAGTAATGTCAGCAAAATGGCAGGGTAGAAAATTCCCAAACCCCATTCTTCCACAGAAACATTGAAAAACAAGCAGAAATTGTTAGAACAAATATGCCAGAACTCAGAAAAATAGTCTTGACAGCAAAGCGAATACTAGGGCAAGGAAAAGGCATTTAAAAATGGTAGGAAAGTTTTGTGGCATTTTTACTTGTCTGTGCCCCACACCTTCCCCAGTATGACTTGGCAGTTATATTGAAGAAAACAACTGTTTTCCCAGTGTGGGACCCAGGTCCCTGTTTCCAGAGGGAGCAGAGCAGATTTTATTCACAGATTAGTGTGTTTGTCTATTCTAACCTGCCTGGGAGCTTCTTAAAGGAATGATGTAAGACATTCATATTTGTTTCACCTAATTCAAAATGCATTCAGGGTAGAAAACCAGTGGGCATTGATTGAAGACATTGTAAGGCAAATGCAAATAGCTGCAGGTGCTTGGGGAAAAGATTATGGCTGAGTCATGCTGTCAGCCACCTAAAGCTTGAGAGGAAAAGCCAGGGAGTATTTCTTTGGAAAATTAGGGCAATCAGAAGTGCCACTGTATATGAGGGAATTTAGAAAGGCAAGTGCATGTCCAGGGGAAGACTCATGTTCATGAAAGACTTGAGAAGACCTTAAACTTTCACTACTGGTGGCTTTCTAGGTTTAGTGCAGGAAGTAAAGGTCAAGGCAGGGTTGTAAACAACATGACCAAGTGATAAAGTGTTAAATGTAGTGGCTAAGTGTTAAAGCACAGAACCAGTCTACAAAGACTAGGAGAAGTGTTTTTTGATTTTTGTTTTGTTTTTCAGTTCTTGGCATTCAAGAAAATATTTGTCAAAACACTGGCTGAGCACAAGCTAAATCTTTCATAAGTAGAGAATGCAAGCCCTGGGAAAGGAGGAGAATCTGATTTCCTGCTTTACCACATTATAATACACTATAATATTTGAATGTCCAGTTTTCAACAGTAACAAAAATCACAAGGCATGCAGAGAAACAGGAAAATATGGCCTACTCAAATGAAAAAAAAGTTGACAAACCATTCTTGAGGAAGCGCAAGTAGACTTAGTAGATAAAGATTTTAAATCAGTTATTTTAAATATATTCAGAGCCAATGGAAAGCATGGACAGAGAACTAAAGGAATTCAAGAAAATGATGCATGAACAAAATGAGAATATGAATAAAGAGCTAGAAGTTGTAAAAAGGAACTAAAGAGGAATTCTGGAGCTGAAAAGTACCATACTGATATAAAAAATTTAGAAGAGGTATTTAGCATCAAATGTGAGCAGGCAGAAGAAAGACTCAGTGACCCTGAATAGGACAAATGAAATAATCACGTCTGGGGAGCAGAAAGAAAAAAAAAATGAAGCAAAGTAAACAGAGCCTAAAAGAGACCTGAGGA